ACATATACATATGTACATATACATATACATATACATATACATATACATACATACGTACATACATACATACATACATACATACATACATACATATATATATATATATATATATATCAGCCACAAGGTCTACTGCAATTCTGTAGGGCTTTATTGGGGGCTTGACAGGTCGCACGGAAGGAGCAAGTTCGAGAGAAACAGCATGCCCATTTCGTAGATGTGCAAATGGTGTTTTAAGTTTAGTAGGACATGGAGCCCGCAGGATGCAAAAGCCGGGTGTCGAGATGAAGTTGATAAGCCGGAAGACTGTCTTGCTCCAAGATGGAGAGCACGGCAACACCCCAAAGCCTAACGTCTATTCACACCCTTTTGGGCTCCCGAAGTGGCTTCACAGACAAGAGCAGTTCTCTTGAAGCTCCTACCTTAAGCCGCCAAGCCTGAATGCTTAGGCCTTCAGTCCTAAGGTCTTATGTCTTAGACCAGCGCCTGAGACAGACCAGGAGACAAGGAGTTCAACCTAAATACGGTTTCGGGTTTAGGGTTTAGGGTTTCATGGGAAGGAGAACTATATACATTTCTCATCCACACTGAGTTCTCCAACCCTGGTCCTCGAAATGACATAACAGGAGCATCAAACAAAAACCAGCACAGGCACTTATCCGTTGTTCCATCAGCCGGATCATCAGCCCGCATATGTGCACAGTGTCATGTACACCAAAGTGTGAATCCAGGCTCCTGCAGCAGACCCTAAGTTTTTAGCCCGAAGTCGTTCGCGTCAGGTGGCCACAGAAATGCGGCTTCGAGAAGAGCAAGCATTGGCCGCTCAGGACAGGACTAGCTGCGGGTTTGGGGAGCGATTTTTTATCGGATTTTAATCGGCTCTCTCTAGCCCGGGATCCCAAAGTAAACCTTTGAGGCCCCAAGACCCTACAAACCGAGCATCACCCCCAGCACCAAAAGCTCCGAATGCCTGAGCATCAGAACCCCTATGATGACTATCACGGCCGGTTGAGACTCACGTCCAAGACCTTAACCCTGCAAAACCCGCTCGCGTCACAAAGCCTGATCGAGAGGCAGGAGCCAGTTCGAGAGTTTTGCAAAGTACACATAGGCGACTCTAGCCATAGCAAATAGTGTGCGAACTTTGGTTGTGAAGCTACCACCGGAAAGACGGTAGAAGCCTTCAAGCACAAAACTCAAAACCCGAAAGCCCTAGACCCCAGCTAGGCCCTAGACCCTCAAACGCCTCCAGGCCAAAACGTCGGACCTGGAATCGCAGCTCGCAGCAGTGAAGGAGGAGGCCGTGGGTGCACTTGGGTTAAGGTTTAGGGTGTATACTTGGAGGTTCATGGGCAGTTAGAAGTGGCGTTATAAGTATAGCGTAGCTATAGTTATATCCCAAAATAGGTGACTTATAACCCTATACTTATAGCTACCCATGAACCTCCAAGCAGGGCTTAAGGCTTGGGAGCTAGGATTAGGGGGACCCTTGGGGATATAGACCCTCTCAATAAGGTCCCTTTTAAGAGAGCCAAAAGTAGAGGCTTGAAGGGTTTAGAGTAAGAGTTGCAACGTAAGGTTTAGGACTTCGGGCTCCTGAGGGTGCGGGTCAGTGGTGTTCGATACTGCGGTTTAGGGTTTAGGGTTCTCCAGAGCTCGAAAGAAATTGCCGGGCACTAGTCCCCTGCAGCCTGAAGCTAATATAAGGGCCTTAACAAATACCCATACTATTTTGGGGGTTCCTTATTATCATTACAATATAGTGGGCCTTGAAACCCTATTCTAATAATTAAGGCCCCTATATTACCCTAGCCTTCAGAAAGCATTTTAGTATAGAGGTCAGGTGAGTCAGGTCTATCAACGTCCTGCACATGCAGGTAGCCTCCTACCGGACTGCTCAAGTGTCGGGCAACCAGGCAGGGAAAGGCAAAGGGCTTCGAGCTCTTGAGTTCGGGTTTTCGGGTTTAGGTCTGAGCGATAGTGACATGAATGTCGCTTTTCATGCAAGATTGCTGCCAGTTTCAACGTCGTGCGGACGAAAGATATAGCTCTCTGTGCACAGGTGCGTCTGTGTGCGCACGTGTCAGTCAGTCTCAGTGGCCAAACTCGAAACCATCAGTCTTCGTAGCCCTTAAGCCTTAAGCCTTATCCAACTTTAGAGTAAGCTTTAGAGCCTCTTACACCTTAAACCCTGTAGCCCATGACCATGAACTCCAAACCCTCGGGCTTTCAGCCCCCATCCGATTTTCGGTCTCCTCCGGGGTCCCCAACATATACGACATGGCATGATCGTTACTCTACAACTGGTGCTACGCGGAATCGTTCCAATACAGTGCCCCCGTTTCAATGCCATCCACGTTCCATAGTCGTAGCTTTCACTTTCGGTTTACTTGTCTTCAGTACATGGAACTTACGTACAGCGCGAAGACCTCCCTACGGTTTAGGGTTTGCAAATGATGGTTGGGTGTTCATCGATTGGGAAAGGTTTTAATTATGAAAAGGGTAGTATTGCCTTGAAAACCTACACCCTGAAGACAGAGAGAGCCCTACAAAGCCCCGAATAGCTTGGATGTAGGAGCACAACAGCGCGGTTCATTTCTTGTGCTACGATTCTACTATTGCGAAGAGTATGTCCACTAAGTAGTATCATTGCTCTTTGGTTGTTTAATGTTGTTTATGATTGTTAGTCTTAAGCTCCAAAGTGCAAATAACGTAAACCCTAAGCCCTTAACCCTGAACCCACGACCGAAGACCTCAAAACCCCGATGCGCTGGGGAACCAGGGTGCGATGCCTGGGAATGCAGAGGATTGGCTTTAGGCTATGCAGCGAAGGACCAGCCCGCTGCGTACTCAGGAGTGCATGTAAAGCCGGCCTCTCCTAACGAAGCTGGGAGAAAAGGAAACCCCCAATCCCGAAACCCTGAACCCTAAACCCCCCTAGACCTTAAAGGATCATGGGACTTAGTAAGTAGGGTTATAATTAGGGTAACTATACTTACAACCCCAATTAAGGGACTTATAACCTTACTTACTAAGTCCCATGATCCTCCAAGGAATTTCGAATCCCTGAGCTGGCAGGTGGCCGAGCAGCTCCAGAGCAGGTTGCAGGCGTCAGAAGAGCGCTGCATGGACTTGGAGGTCACCGGGGGCCTCATGGTTTTAGGGTTTAGGGTTATGGGGCAAGAGGGTTGGGTGCATCCTCATTGTTGTGGGGGGAGCATCCTCAAATTAGGCTTTGAGGTTTAGGGGTTTTCGGGGCTTTTAGAGTGTTGAGCTTTGATTCTGGTGATGTTTAGCTCGTCTGGTTTTCGGCAGATGTCTCAACAAAGCCGTGCTTGTCGCTGGTGTCTGGGACAGGGCACCGGAAACCCTAAGGCTTCGAGCCTTACGACTGCAGGGAGCAAACGCAATACTGCACCGAAGAGGTCATCTGTCTCTCCCTCTCTCTCTCTCTCTGTCTTTCCATGTTTTTTTTTCCTGCTGTGTGTGTGTATATATATATATATTTATAGATATAAAAAGTTTCAAGCTATTCCCCACTTGTTCTTTTGAATCGGAGGTGCAAAGTGCCGAGCTCGAGAAGAAGCTTCGGGCAGCGACGGAAGAGGCCGTTGCTGCTGGTGCTTCCGGGAGCTTGTCGTCGAAACAGAAGCTTCTGAGTGACTACAGTTAGACCTGACTGTTGCAGACCGGAAAGTTAGCTTCCGCGGCTCTAGTTTGCCTTTGACTGTCGTGGAATGTGGATGCAGATGTGCAAATCATGTCATGAACTCTCCAGAGTACATATCCGGGTGTCGAAGCGTGGTTTACAAGCCGAAAGAATGCCTTACACCGAGATTAAGAGCACGATAATACTCCAAAGCCTAACCCTAAACCCGAACATCCTAAACCGTAGAACCCTGAACCCTAAGCTAAAGCTCCTATTAAGACTTTTTGGCCTCCCGTAGTGGCTTCACATTCACAGAAGATAACAGTTGGCTTCTTCGGCGTAGGATATTTGGGTCCATACGCTCCACCAGAAGCCCTAATGAGGGGCCCTAGACCTTCAGCCCGAAACCCCAAAAAGAGGTCCAGGGTTCCCCCTGTATCCTGCACTTCGAACGGACGCAGGCAGCTCAACGACTTCACGCCAAAGTGCAGGAGTCGGAGAAGCGCTACACCGATTCGGAGGCGGCCTTTACGTTGGAAAGAGGTCACAACCATCCCGGCAGTGTCAGCGCTAGTAAAAGTTTCTCGAATGACAGTGAACCCCAAAAGCTCCGATGAAGCAAGGGACGCCGTAAGTGAGCTGTACGGATGCTGAAGTCTTAGTCGTGGATCAAGAGCATAGGGGTCCGTTGGGCTGTCGATATCCGGTTAAGGTCTGCCGGGCTTTCAAGCTTATCGGGCTTACCGGCTGGAAGGTTTCGGGATTCCGGCTTAAAGGACCCATGGTCCCCATGCTTAGATATGGATCCACGAGCCTTGCCACTCTCGCTGCCTAGCTTCTTTAGCAACGGACGGACAACCACTCCAAGATTTCATGAGTTCTTGAGCTACTGTTCTCTGGTCTGACGTAGTCTTGGTGTTCGTGCAGTGTTTCTGCATATGACAGGCATTCCTGCACAATATTGATGTAATCACCATTGATGTCAATACGAATGGACTTCTACTACTTTTACTTCTACACTTGTACTTCTAATTCTACTAGTACGACAACCACGACGACGACGAGTTCTACTAGTACTGCTGCTGCTATTACTACAACAACTACTGATAATAATGCGCAGGATAACAATGAAAGTAAGAGTTATATTTAGGTACGAGTGTGTACTGGTTCTCAATGTAGGTGGGTCCGTGCTAGCCTGAACTGGTCCAGTCTAGTCGAGTGTAGTATCGTATAAAGCAGTATATCCTAGTATTTTAAGGTTATAGCATGTAGCTGAATACCATCCAATCGAACCAAACTATAACCCGAAACCCTAAACCCTAAACCCCTAAACCCTAAACCCTAGTCCAATCGAGCCAAAGTATAACATGATGCATTGGTGTACTTAGCGACCTCGAATCTGATCCCTGCGCGTGTTGGGCCCTGAGATCAGAAAAATTACCGACGATGCTAAGTAATTAGAGATATACTTCATTCCCTGATGGGGTCTAGGGGATAAGGGTTTAGGCAGCAGAAGGTCACATCGTCCGAAGGCAACGCCTTTGAGGCTGCTACTACTGCGAAGGAGTTTCAGGTAAAAGGTCGAAGCATCACAACACTTGCGGTGTGTGTGGGTAATCTTTCTTGTTACATTCCTGGCCACCTTCCTTAGGAGCAGCCACGACTCTGCCTGAAATTGTCTTGTATGCTCCTGACACGACAATAAATCCAAAATGTTATGTGTGTATATATATATATATAAACCTAGCTTTTAGATGTTTATGGATTGAATTAAACTACTATTCATTGACAGTAAATTCACCGCAAAGTTCTGAACAGGTTTACTTCCTGCAAACAGCAATGACAAACAGCACAGTGTAGTAGTAGTAGTAGTAGTA